ATGCCTTATTTACACTTAACATTACATGGGATTAACCCATTTTTGTTCAGTCGGTATTCTTCTATAATATAGTGTTCCAAATCTGAAGGTCTTGATGTGTCTTGTTTGGACTAGATTGTCTGGATTTGTTTTCATCCTTACATGCAACTTATTCATACTGTTTCCCCCAGACAAGAATATCAACTGAGTAATTGACATTGAGCATACAGTACTGGCATACTTTGTTTCTTCTGTAAATTAGTGCATGGAAACATCCCAATTTTCTGATGTTGAAAGCCCAGAAGGGTAAAAAGAATGATCAGATTGACCTCAGTGAGCTTTCAATGAAGACATAACCAAAATCTGTGCAGAATTCTTAGTCTTCAGTATGAAAAAAAATACATGTCCATCTTAGTTTGTAGCCACTTTTTTCCACAAGCTAGTCATTCAACACTGGTGATATATGACTAATACTGATTTTAAAAGCAAAATAACTCTTAATAGATGATTCACTGTGTCACAGAAAAATGCCTGAAATAGTCATTCACTGTTATTCGTCTCCTTGTACAGTTTACAGAAATAATTAGTATTCCATTTGACAAACAAGTGAAAACATCCATTAGCTAAATGACACAACATATACTTTGACTGAGTCTTAAATTTCACTAGAACTCTATCAATTGTAACTGCTGAACAGTCACAGGAATACACAGCTTTTAGTATGTTGTATGATTGCTCTGGTTAGGAGGCCACTGAGGTATTTAAAGAAAAAAATTATTGGATAGTTTAATCTGTCTTTGAAATCAAAAGAAAAGAGAAAAAATGCTTGTATGTAATCTGTAAACTACAGATACATAGAGTTGGTCATATGAATTTGTTGATCTGCAAACAAGTACTAACCCCAGACCCATAAACAATTATCATCAAAAATGGAAGAGTGGAATAGAGGAAAAACATTGGTTTGTGATTGCTGTTTCTTCTGTAACAATGTTAAAAAATTGTCAACTGTATACAAAAATACAAAAGGAGACTTTTTCCCATTATATTCTGAGTGCAAAGGACAGCTTCAATAATGATATCTAAAAATTGTGAGATTAGCCAACTAGCTGTAAACATTAGATTTATTTAATTTATTTTTTTTTTACTTTTCATCTGAAAGCTGAGTTACGAGATATAAGTTGGAATGCATCTACATACGTAACCACCACTTACAAGATTCTCTTGTGGAGATAGAACTGATGGGTTTGCTGATGATGCGTGAGCCAGAATTGATTTGCTGTGGGTTTTCTGCTAGCTATGGTAGAAGTTATTTTGAAAATACTTACTCGTAGACAGAAGCAAAGTTGATGAAGAGCTCCTTTTATGCATTTATCATTTTTAAAAAATGTTTTCTATTAATATGTCATTTTCTTGTAGCTATTGTGCACAGATCCCTCAAACTGATCTTTAAAGTAAATTTCTGTTCAGAGATGACAGTCAAATGGTAACAAATGCAATGCTGTTTTCTACACACTGGAAGAACAAGTAAGAATGTGCTGGGTACAGACATAATCAAAATTTCTCCCTCCATTGTAAATCATCAGAAGACCAGGAGATCCAACCAGGTTCTTCCCCAGCATCTTGACTGTGCTGAGGCAATTCTGACTTGGACTGAACACTTCCTCCACTTTTGCGAGAGCATAATTTCAGTTCCGACTAGACAGATAGATGGCAGTCTGCTCACTGAACTTGCACCCATACAAAAATTCGATATAAGTATCTCCTGATATAAATATCCTTTTACTCTGTAAAAACACAGGCTTTCAGAAAAGATCCTATAATATACATTCTGCAGCAAAATTATACTTTCAGAATTACCAGTGGAGGCATGTCAGCTCCTGTATCCGTGTACATATCTGGCTATTTTGTACTCTACAGAGCTATAGTTTCTGTTACTGCACAAGGAATAAAGCATCTCTTTTACACCTCAGCAAAAATCTACTTTTAAATATGTTAAAAATGTACCCAAATTTCTGAAAAATTCATTGAAGAACAAGGGGTAATGGCTTTAAACTGAAAAAGATTATATATTTAGATTATATATTAGGAAGAAGTTCTTTACTGTGATGGAGATGAGACACTGGAACAGGTTGCCCAGAGAAGCTGTGGATCCCTGGAAGTGGGACCTTCAAGGTCAGGCTGGATGGGGCTTGGAGCAACCTGGTCTAGTGGAAGGTGTCCCTGCACATCTCAGGGAGGTTGGAACTAGATATTCTTCAAGGTCCCTTCCAACCCAAACCATTCTATGATTCTATGAACTAATCCCTGGAAAGTAGTTACATTTCAGCATTTATTTGGTTTTCTCACAGAAATGACCATCAAAAGACTTGCAAAAGGTTTCAGTCTCACTTGAAGCAGTAAGAAAGCACTTTTTCTGCACTTTCTCAGTGCATCAGTCTAACTGAAGTGTTGAAAAATGGAAGTAGAAAGAGGAGTTGTTCTGGGCTTCACACTTCTTGAACTTCTTATAAAATGGTGTGATCCCCATACGAAGCTACGTGCCACCTCTTTCTATGTGTCTGATAAAAAAGCATGGTTTTGAACAGAACCCTATGTTGCAAAGTTCTATTGACTTCAGAAGTGCTGAGAAGCCAGTGTTCCTGTTGAAGCAGATGGTAAAATCAAGCCTGTCAACCAATAACTAAGAAGAGCTGTGTTGTTATAATTTTATCCATACAGTGCCTGAAAGTCATTGGTCAGCAGGGGGCATGGTGAGGACGGTGGCGCCAAAATTGCACCATGAGCATGTCCCCATGGTACTGAACAAACTCTAAGGGGAAAGTGCTCTGAAACTGTAGGGAGTTTATTCAAGCTACTAATCTAGGGTTATTAATTTTGTATTACGGAATCTATGGTACTTCATGGACCAAGGCAGTATCTCTAAATGTAACCAAAATATGATTATGAAAACAAAACAGTGCTAGCTCAGAATTTTTTTGTCTTGTGCCCCACTACATATATGGATAAGTCTAGTGCTGGCTCCCATATATGTCTTGGGGGAATAGACGTGGTTACTACTTGCTGTTGCAGAAAATGTGAAAGATCAGCCTGATGAAAGCCACCCTTAAGTGGACAGACCAGAAATGGACCTTGCTCCTCTCAGCATGAAGAAACTCATGTAAGCTCTAAATGATGTTTCTTGAAATGAAACGCTGTTTCAAATTCACCATAGATGTAACATAATCAAAGATATTAAGCTAATTGATTTTGACTATTTATAGAGAATTTTTTAGATATTTTTAAATTATGCTCTGTAATACAAAACCATACATAGATGAGTAAAAATGTGTAAAAATGCTATTATGCATGTTCATATAAGCAATAGCAATAATTGCCTACACAGAACTCCAGTCTTAGACAAGCCACAGATGTTTGAACAACTATTCTTAGTCACTCCAAAAGTACTTCATTTCCTTAGTTACTGCATTACTGGGTGTCTTCATCCTATTTAGCTTATTTTGCGGTCTAACAGGGTCAGTACTAGGTCAGTATATAATGATCTATAATGAGCTGCTATCCACGGCTGTTGAGACCAGACATAATTCCTGTAGGTGAGCTTGCCATTTTCTGCATGTTTTACTGCCAGTTATCAAAATGCCTGGTGGTGAGCATGATGTTCTGTTTAGCTGCAGTTTCCATACCTTAGTCAACCAGGGATCATCACAGTGAGTTCTTTCGAAAGACTCTTGTTAACTAGCTTACTGCAATGAGAACTGGATACATATTTTGTTCAGCAGTTCAGTAACATATTGAGGTAGGTTGGTAAAAAAGGTGAAGGCATATTTACTCAAGAGTGCTTTGTATTATAAAAAATTTTAAAGTAAAAATTATAACCAGTTAAACATGTTCAAGAGCTAGAGTGACAGAATTTTATACATTCTGGTTTAAGTATTTTAGTCCTTTCTCATGTAAAATTTCCTCTTAAAGGGACATAATATTCAATAGGAAGTTTAATCTTATGAAAAATAGTTACTGTTTATAACTGGGAGGATTTGTCATTATGCAGCTGTGTCGCCATAAGACAAAGGGTAAAATTGGTACCATTTGTTTAGCCACTGGCTAGAAAAAACTGAAATAAAGGACAGAGAGGGACAAGACTGGAAATGGCTGTGTATTATATTACACTGTTATTACCATAAGGGTTAGGCATCTCATATCAGTGGTTATCAGAAAAACAAGCTAAAGGAATAAAGTAAGAGAAAATCAAATCACTGTCTCCAAAATGACAGACCAAACTTCATCAGTGTGCTGACCCAAATTCATCCTGTCTGGCAAAAGAAATACGGGTGGCAACCTTTCCACCCAGAATCATCTCTACTCACTGCCCCCTTGTGCACTGTCTTGTAACACAAACATTCTTCATTAATCAAGTACATTTATATTTAATGCCCCCAACAGATTTTTCTCCATACTCCCCAGACTCCTATAAATTTACGTTTTCAAGGTCTTGCAGCAAAAACTTCTTCAGAATAACACATTTTGGTTTTTGAACCTACCATCCACTCATTTCTAAAATCTAGATTATTAGCAGCTGTCACCTGTACTCCTTATGGGAACCTGACTTGGTCATCAGTGATAAGGCTGAGATCTGGCCTATTTTATTTTGTCTGTCATACCAGAGGAAGGTGACCTTAGTATGGGTACTTCTGTTGGTACTCTTCAAATTTGAATGACTTTTCTGCTGAGATTGTGCTTTTGGTACATATGTGAATTTTCCTCCACTCCTTTCTCCTGTGTTTTTGCATCATCATCTCTATTTCCTTCCTTAGAGTGAGAATGATTCCCTTTCCCATTCATGCACATTGTTTCCAAACCCAGTGTATCAAGACCCCAGTAGTACCAGGTGCTAGTTAACACTTTCACTGCAAGTATATTACTGTCTTATTTCAGTGCATGCTTTCCACAATGCCTGTTTTATCACCATGTAGTAAAGAAGAAAAGCCAATATATATAATAAAAACAAAGGGGGTTTGGCCACTTACCAAGTGAAGATAAGACACAATAAGGTAGATATTAAAATGAGGACTTGGTTAAACATTGCAGACTGTGTGCGCTGGATGGCTCTGTGAAGATCATTCTATATTAATGGAAAACAGGTGTTAATTTGGGTTTTTAATTAGTAAGGCATGAGCTGATTCTATAGAAGAATTATCTAGTGCCCTGATAAAATGCAGTCATTCAAATGCACTTGGAATTTGCTGATCATACAGAAGGGTGCAAAAGAGCCAGCTGTGATTCTGTGATCATTTAACTAGTTCTTTGTTCATCCTGGCACAATTCTGATACTATTCTAAGCTGCCTTAAGGTCTGTCTGCTCATGTCTAGCTCACAAATTACAGGCTGCAAGGACCAATTAAGGCATTGAGTTCCCTGCAATTGTGTATGAATGGAAGATAGCAAAAGATCCAGCCATTCCAACTTTCCCTTATTGGCACAGTAACAATTTTTGCTAATTGAGATTTCACTTGACGTCTTAATTTTTTCTAATTTTGATGCCAAAAGCATTTTAGCAATGCTTGCCCATTTGTATAATCTAAATACAGATCTGGTTGGCTTCCTATTGAAGTTGGACAATGGAGTCTACTGACAACGACCTACTAAAGACAATGTACTTCCTTTGTCATACTTACAATCATATTCTCTAAAGCATGCTTTGCCAGCCAACAATTTAAAAATACAGGAATAAACAGGTTTCTTAGGACTGGCCAGAAAATCTGAAAGAAAAATTAACAAATTCATTAAAAGCTTTTCTAATCAAGAATAGAGCTTTTCTATTTAAGCAACAATGAAACACCTGGGAAAAATACTTAATGTGTTTTTTGGAAAATACTATTAATGTGTGTTCTAGTGTGAGATATGGTTTTAAATACTATCTTTTATTCCTTTGTGATTAACTGTATTTAAGGTAAACTGATAAAATAAGGACAGACAGTTTTCAGAGATTCTTAGATTTTTATGTCTAGCTGGTTTATCTTATTGATTATGCTATAGCTTAAGTTGGAGCATTTTGATTTTGTTTGTCCCCTACTGGGGAGGATGAGGCAAGCATTATTACTTCATTCAAGAAGCAACCTATCTTCTTGTTGACAACTTTCTGTTCCCACAGGCAGAAATTTGTCATTCATATAAGATTCAAATTTACTTCAATAAAAATTAAGGGTGCTTGTGCAGCTACAACAGTGCAGTAAGAAAATGTATTAATTCAAATGTGTTTACCGTGATGATGAAAGGGACAGCATTAATTATTTCCAGGAGAAAAGGTATTCTCAGAATTTGTTCCCAGATATTTCCCTTCAAAGAAAAGAAAGAAAAAAACACCATGTCACAGCAGGCTTACATACAGTTCTGATGAGAAATATATGCAATATTCCAGTGCCACATATGGAGCCTTTCCCACTAGCAGAATTTCAGGAAGATCATTCATCTCAGATTTAAACACATATGTGAAATGTGAATATAGAATATAGAACCACTCTAGCCTATTTTTTCTTACTGCTTATCGTAATGTACCTCACAGGTAAAAATATATACTTTTAAATCTATATATATTCACTTGAGCAGTTCTCTGTTTCCATATGACCATATATTTCCTTGCTGTGACCTAGTTAGTAAGACAGCTCTAATGACGAATTCTAATTGCATTAACCAGTCAACTCATTCTCTCAGCTAATGAAGAGCATCATTAAATTAAGTTTTCATTTTTTTTCAGTGAATAACATGTTCCTGTTTTCTTCTATTGCATTTTTAGGTACCTTGGAATCATACACAGACATTTTGTTTCTACTTTTTCATTCTTGAAAGGTTAGCTTACTTTAATTTTTACATGCATACTGACACACAGATAAGGGGATAAGGTTCCTGTCCTAAGGAATTTATCTTTTTAATAATTTTCACTTTTCAGTGACTTTTCAGAGAAGTAGCAGACTACCCTGCTGGATAGTCTTTTATCTACGACTATTTCTACTTTTTCTTATAAGCCTTTAAATCTTTAAAACTCTCTGCTGGAATGCTTTAGCTTTTGATCTTGCTAAAGTTTTCCTTACCTTAATGCTTATTGTCTTGCAGTGTCTAAAAAGTAGAGACAAAGCCCTAGTACAGTGTAGGAGTTGCAGAGACATATATCCAAAGAACACGCCCTGCTCAGAAGATCTTCCCATCAAACCTATTGTTTTGGTTACCTCTGTGCACAGGTGACTAACCTGTAGTCCATACTCATATTTGTTACGAATGATGACTCACTGTCTGTACAACCTTCTGATAGAACTTTGTAGCAAAATATAAAGCAAAAGAGGAATGCAAATATCTTGTATTTTTCAAAGGAAAACAAACAGCTTGTTTTCTCTTGTTTCATTAGCCTCTGCATGTTTGTCACAGAGGTCTGGATATTTCTTTTTATTAATTCTAATCTGCTATTAAGGTACTAATTTATTAAGTACTAAAAAGAGGAATGCAGTTAAGTTTGGGAAAGATAGCATTATTCTATAGTGAGTCCTTCGCTCCTCTGCATTTGTCTTCTTTTATCTTTACTTTATATTTTCTCTTTCCCAACTGTTTTGGAGAGAGAAGTAAGGGAGATAATTCAGTTAGGACTACCAGAACAAAGTTCTGTATTTCTGCCACAAACACCTCAGTACCAGGGCTTTTTGAAACTTGATCTTGCTTACATGAAATTAAGACGTCTTTCTGCATATTTCAATGAAAGTGGTACTGATCTTTTAATCTGCTTGCTGCTAGTTACAGCATGGGGATAATACTATTTCTTTTCCACACCTGAGCAGTGATTGTGAATAATTAAATGTCAGGATGAAAATCCATACATTTTTAAAATCAGGTATTTAAAATTCGATGACTTACAGCTTTTCTAACTCTCTATATCAAAACTCCATCATAGGTAACGCAATAACAATGTAGTGCATATATGGGAATAATACAAGAATGCACAGTACAGCATTATATTTTCCCTTGAAATGACATATTAATCTTTCCTGGTAAAATAAGTATCCGATATAACCACTTATACAAGCTCCATAGCATATAAAAGTCTTTTCCTATTTTTACTTTTTCACATCTGGAAGATGTAACTATGGGGCAAGGATAACTGTCTTCCACATAATTTTAATTGGGGAGAGTTAGACTGATTTGAATAATCTTATATATTTTATGTGATAAGCAGCCCTGTAAACAGAAGTGAAATTACAAAACTGTAACCTGAGGTTTTATTTGTAGGAATAGTAAAATCAAAAGAAAATATGATTTACCCAACTGCCCCATTCTGTGTTTTCACTAATTTCTTCATTGTTAACTGTTAAGAGCTTTCTTTTCTGCAATATAGAAATGTCACAGAATTTACTTGTGCAGGCTAAATACATGTGCGAATATGCGCCAGGTACATAGTGATCTGTCCAGATGTAAGATTCTGGCTTCTACATAAAAATGCATTGTGTCTTCTGCAGAACTGCCTTTTACAGTGAGAATGTATGGTACTGATAAAAGCAGCTAAGACTGCCTGTGCGCCAGAGATATAGTAGGATTGCCAGATGTCTGTGACGAATTTTGGCAATGGAAATTTCTAATGTAGACATCTTCCAGAATTTTGGCCAAGAGCAAACCCTCACGTATATGGGTTAAGCTGTGAGAATGCAGATTGTAAATTCTTTATTCTTGGACTCAAGTGATCAGCAGTGTAATACAGTGCTACAGTTTTCGCATTCCTCCCCATATAAAAGCAACCAAAAAATGCAAATTCAATGTATCCTAGTAGGATGACACACTATTATGTTCTTACTATTCTGCATGTTGAATCATTCCTCATGTGTCCTCAACCAGGTATCAGAAAGGTAAATTCCTTGGAGTATTCTCTGAAATGACTGCTTTATTTATTTTACAGGTTTCTGAAATCTTAGCAATGTGCACACAAATGCAAACACAATCATCTTTTTCTTATTTTCTTTCTGGCTTGTCCTGACTTGTGCCTACGCTGTAAAAGCTTTAGAAATGTTGGCATGAAATAAGTAATCTGTCATAGATTTACATGAACCAACGCTCTTTCAGTCATCCTGGCTTTGCAGAAAGGCCTTACAGTGGGCGAAATATCAGCTGCCTTGTCTTCCAGAGACTTGTGTAAAACTGGGGTAAATGGCTCTATGATGACATTTCCAGATTGTAACTAAGAGGACAGGACCAGAGGGAAGAAGGTGTTTGCATCAGGTGGATTGCCGAAGTGCATTTCAGTACTATTATTCTTCCTTACATTACTCTAATTCCATTATGAGGAGTGGAAATACAGCAATCATAAAATTGCCTCAATGACAGGTATATGCAGCAAATCAGCATAGTAGAGCTTTACACCCATTGCACACTAATAAGTGACTTCTGGGGGCTGACTTGTCAGTATTTCTCTCATCTTCTGTACTCACTGAAATTGATGCAGACCACAAGCAGAATGGTTAGGGATAAAATGCTACTCAATAAACTCAGGAAGAGTGTAAACTGATTGCTCGTTACTGTTTTGGTATTAGATGTGTTAATTTTTGATTGCTTCTGCCTATAATTGGTTTGCATTTGTAACCCCCAACACCTAAACAGTATATGCTAAAAGGATTAAGAAGAATAATTTTTAGGCAGCAGACAGTCTTAAGCCTTTTAGCAATATTGGGCGCTAGGGAAAACATTTATGCCATAATCGCTTGATAAGCACACTAAAGTACAACTCTCTCACTTCAGTGGTGGCTCTGAGAGCTACTGAATATATGCGTTAAGATATTTTTAGCTTTAGAAACCAAGTCTTTTCATATTTACTTTGGTAAGTGATTTTAGTATTGTTCTCCTGAAGACACTAAAAATGCAGAGCACCTAAAACTCACTACGATAGCACAGAACAAAATGTAATGAAGAAAATTAAAATATTAGGAAAATATAACTTTTTAAGGAGAATGCAAATACAAAAACGTATTGTATTCACATCAGATGATTTCAAGGCATTTTACAAGGGTGTTCCAATAGCATCAGAGAGATGAATAATTTAAGTATGTAGGTTCCCATTTTTCAGTTGTTGTTGGGTTTTTTTTAAAGAAAGTACTGTCTTAGCCTACGTTTTTGGTGTGTGGTTTTAGAGGCCTACAACTTGAGTTATAGATACTGAGTAGCTACAGTTTGACATCAGTGAGAATCATGTCCGTTGCATTATGGATAGAGATAAATCTGTGCACTTTAAAATCAGCATCCAAAAATGAAGGTCACTTTTGAGAATGTGTTTTCAAATTACAACGTGCTAGAGGACAATGGAAAAAGTGAAAATTTCATTTCTGACTTCCACTCTCTAGATATTAGCATTTGCTCATAAATTTGGGAAATATGCACAGGGCTGCCCGTGACAATATGCTGTCCTCTACATGTGTGTTTTTTTCAACTTCCTGCTTGTACCTCCATGTGGGCACAAATGCAGGCACATGGATTTTATATTGAAACATTTAACTCAGTTACATGTTGTGATGAATTATGCCTAAAAGTAACTGAAAGTACTTACCTTGTAGCTTAGATAACTCAGCAGCAGAGTTTCAAAGAGACTTATTAAAGCCACAGAAACCTTAAGTGATAAAATATGTGTATTAATACTGGCTTCCAAAGAACAGATGACATTAGGCATGACAATGAGATGTAAAAGGTAATAAAAAACAGCTTTTCCATGCATCCTCTGAAACCATCTCAACTAGCAACATTTAGCATGAAGCTTAAATATTGTTGTTTTTCTGACTAAAGCGCAGACTGACTTCAGCCTCACGGCTCTTTTACAACACTCCAGAGAGCCTACAGGGTGGCCTTTCCATGGTTTTAGAGAGCTCCATACACAGTCTGCCAGATTGAGTCTCAAGTTTCAGTTGTCTATTCCTAAAAGGTACTGAGATCTTTTCACAAGATAGAGAGCGAAGGAGGAAGCTGTAAATAATGGAAGCTAGTCAGCTCTTTACTTTTCTGTAAAGATGTTATAAATGTGTGGAAAAACAACCACTTTTCTTGCTGTGTATAATTTGGAAAGTTGAAAACAGCACAAATGATAGAGAAGAATCATTATTGATTTTAATATTTAAATGCAACTGAGATCACCTTATCAGCCTTAATTTAGATTATAAGTAGTGTATCCACTGTGTAATTTAAAAATATTTAAATAATCAAATACCAAGTAGTAAAAAAAAATTACTTAAAAATTTATACATATAAAATAATCACAAAACTTACTTAAGTCCTTTGCACAGCAAATACTTGTATTTTAATATATATCATGAGAATATTCTATCATGAAGATGTACAAATTCAGCTGGAGCCTGATGCCAAACAAGCTCGGGATTTCTGATTTTAAACTAATGGTCATTACTACTGAAAACTCAGTGGAGTACATTATTTGCACGCAATATCATCATCTAGAATTAAAAAAAAAGATACTATGAATTGGAAAATTATTAATATGCAGTCAAAATCACAGTATCATTAGGGTTGGAAGGAACCTCTGGGGATCATCTCCAAGATTGGACATATTAGAGATAATCCATCCCCCTGCCAAGGTAGAGCCACCTAAGAGCAGGTTACACAGGAACGCATCCAGGCAGGGTTTGAATGTCTCCAGAGAGGGAGACTCCACAATCCCCCTGGGATTTGTGAATACCTATTTGGAATATCTGTTTCTCCAAATACTGTTTTATATAAAATCAGGCTGTATCTCAAATAAAAACAAATCTTTCTTTGCAACTATTGTATATATCCTACTTTGAATGCATGTGTATATATACATGCATACACATATGTATAAACACCTGTGTTTATCAAATAAACTTACTAGAATAAGACTGTAACCATAAGCAAATAAAACTGACAGTATTTTTTAATTAAATTGAATACATTCATCTGAATGTCCAGGTCAAAATTTATTCAAACTGAACATACTTTAAGCAAAGAATTCAAAGATGTTTTCATCAAGATGTTCCTCCCTTGGTAAAGTTGTATATTACACAGGGGTACAAACCACTGTAATGGAATTCCACTAAGCATGGTGACGTAATGGTATAACCATTATGGAAGCTTAAGGAATTCTTAGTAAAACAAAAACACATTTCACAGGGAGAATTCCCACAGCGCTGTCTACGAGTAAAAAAAAGTGCTCCCAAAATGAGCAGGCTTCAGGACAATGAGGACGGAACAAGAAACTTCAAAAGATATCCAAGATCCACAAAGCACTGATGTAGTGCATCTTTTGTAACATATTCCTCTAAACATGTAGGCTTCTAGTTTTCTAGTGTATTTAACACGAAAGCTCATGAAACATGTCCAAAGCTAGTCATAAGCAATTATGAAATTTAAACCCATCACTGGACCAAACAGTGACTATTTGACTCAACAGAGCTTGATAATTCTAAGACAAAAGGCTATCTTAACTCCACAGTATTTTGTTATAAGTATTAATACTTCCTATTCTAAAGCCATATAAATTTACATCAGGTAGCTCAACTTATCTTTACTTCATGCTTTTGTTGTACTTGGTCATCAAGTAGATTTCCATGCTAATACCAAGTTTTCCAAGTATCCTTTAACATAACTAAAATGCAGTAAACCAATATTGTCTACAGCCATTAAATGGAAAGAGTTAAATTGGCCATTTAAATATCACCTGTAATCCCCATAAAGGCAAGCTTCGATTCACCCAAATAATAGGAGACCTGTTCATTACAACGAGAAAATAAATACGAAATTAATCAAAATCTGAATAATGTTTGGAACAAAATAAAGGAAGAAATTTGTACATTTGAATGGAAATTAGAGGAAATTTTTATTTAAAGAAAAAATAAATCTCAGTAATAAAAATATTTAATTAGTAGCTTTCTACTGAGTATTGACATTGCTTGTATTTCTTGTTCAGAGCCAGTCATTGAGTTCCCATGGGAGTAGTCCAAAACCAGTAACACCAAAATCTTTTAGTGGCTTCACTGGTTGCAACTCCATGCCCTATGATTCCAGAAATTATAAATCAGTTTCTGCTTTTGATTCTAGAGATGCAGGGGAATAATTCTTTGTGGTAGGAAAACTAAATTTCACAATTCTTTTGTGTGAACTTTCTGCTATCTTAGCAACAATAAAAATGTTACCTAACTCATAGGGGCTGTGATATCTTGGAAAAATCCCATGTTCCCTTAGCATTTACTAAACTCAATGATAATGGGCACTTAATACAGTACTACTGGAATCTGGCACAGTAGTTTACTGGTAATCATTTACCACTAGTCTTAATTGTTTTTCAAGTAAGACCATCCATTTTTTTCAGCAAGGTATAAACACTGATAGAATTCAGATCTTGCAAGAGCATCTGATCAATCACTGAAACAATGAAAATATTAAAGGCAGTTTTAAATATTCAGAGAAACAGAACTTCTTGAGGATTATGGAAGCATCACTATTATATGCCACTATTATATGCATCACTATTAAAATGCCACTATTCCAGATGGAAATGGATTTGGCTTCGTGTTTTCCTACCCTTCCCACCATTATGTGGATTTTTGGTTTGCTTTTTTAAATTAGGAACTCACCAATCAATCGCTCCAGGTGTGTAGTTTTGATTGGAACATCTCCAGTTTAATTCCTTACTGATAGTTGTCATTCCATCATGCAAAGTCCATTTTCATTAGCAAATGTATTTGGGAACATGATTATAAAAACATATGAGAGGAAAGGGTTATTAATTACATTATTAAGTGTTCTATAAAATGCATGCAATAGTTTGAAACCCTAGGTAATGGATGTAGATGTTTTTTAAAGTAAAATAACTTTTAGGAAGTAGTTCTGTATGTGTTCTGTATCTGTAGATAAAGGACTACGAAGCAATTCAGGTTACATTTTTTTTAAGATTTATTTTCAAAGGTGTTCCAATTTAAAAACAAAATAACAAATCATACTTTCAAAAGCTGAACTAAGTACACAATAAATATGAAGATCCAGAGATACTCCAAATCCTGTCATATGGATAGGCTGGGATAGAAAGAGCAGATATGCCTGCCACACTCTCAACAGGAAAGACTGCACCAATCTACAGCTTATATCCTCTTGTAAGGATGTGAGGAGGGCTGAAGATTCATGTAGCAGTAATTCACATAAGAAACTGGTGACATCTATGTAAAATAACTAGCTTTATGTATGTGTTGTTATCTTGCCTGGAATTGCTGGCACAAATCTTCTCTTCGGATGCTCATGTAAGGATGTGGGAATATATATTTGTGTAAATGATGAAAAATATCCTTGTTTGTCCTGGGATAGCAAGATCAGAAGAAGAGGATCTGCAGACCACACATTAGTAAATGCTGTATTTTTTACTGGCTATGAGAGGGACAGGTGCTAAATAGCATGCATTAATAAGGATGCTTTATGTCTTAAGCTCTTCCCTGTACATCTGCTGTGCCTGAAGGAGTAAATAAAAGATATTAACCTCTGTGGGCATTTCTGAAAACCAGGAAATAAATCTGCAGGGGGAGTCTGTGATGGAAAGCATTCCTCACAGGATTGTCACTTAAAAAACAAGGTGATTATGTTTTCTGTGGCCATGCCCTCAGTACACTGAGTAGTTTCTTTCTTTAGGGTGTGACACAGCATCTAGAAAAGATGTTTTTCCGTAACACTCCATTTTTAAGAATGCTTTATGACACTAGTTTAGGTATCAAGCTCTCAGGATCTCTATGAGTAAAACCACTGACATTAGTGGGATAACATTTGGGCACAGAGATGGGTTTTCTGGCATAGACAGCTTCTAAAACTAGGGTCTCAGCATGCAGAAGTGACTGATCTGAAACTTCGCAGCCAGAAGAATGTTATAGAGAGATAGAACATACTAGTCAACACATCAAAAGAGATCAATACATAGTGAAAATATAAATATGGTCTCTGGCTGGTGAATTGTCAAACATTGTTCCTTAGATTGAAGGAACATGTCAGGAAAGGTCTTGGGAACTAAGTAGTCTGCAAGATGCAGAAAAATCTTTGCATATGAATACAAAAGCATCGAAGCATACCTCTGGCAGAAGCGCTGATGTTCTAATCTGTTCTGCATACTCAGACATAACCTTGCAATATAAAATGCTCATTTGGGCTTACTAGATTCCTCATAACAAAACAGTGTCAGCAGCTTCTTCATGCCAGAAAATGTCATTAACTAAAATTTCAAGTCTTTGAGTTGCTGTGCTACTATGCCTAAATCGCTAAGGATGGATTTTCTCTTCTCCATCAGTGTTAAAGGTTTTATGAAATCTTTACTGCTCATTTACTCCCTACATATTTCCTCTCCTTGAAGAATCATTCTAAGACACATGTGGAGTCAAAAAACAGGTTATTGAAGTTCTTTTCCAGTGAGATTACTTTTTCTTTTCTGACCCTTTTTCAGATGCTCTGATTGTGTACCATAAATTTTAACAAAAAAACTTCTCAAATGCATCTTCTATACTTCCCATTCACACATCCTTCTCTTATGCCCTGCTGAGTAAAGCTGTTATTACTCACTTTGCTTTAATTTGATTCTTATAAAATACAGTATTCCTCCTGTGTACTACTTACAGTGTTACCCTTATTAAGTTTAACCGATTTTCAAATATTGAAATTAGAAGTCATACCTGGTCCTTTGCTTAATATTGCATGAAAAGTGTTAGTTCTATCGTCTCAAGCTTAGTGATTTAATCTGTGCTTTGTTTCTTTCAATACTTAAGGCAAACAGAATCAAATCAAGTGAAAGCACAATAGTGTGGTGCTTATTAGCATTTAAAATTGAGAAGATTCAGTATATCTAGGGTAAAAATACAACTGAAGTACAGGACTGTATATATTATAAATATAATTTCTTCTACAATTGGTGGTTGATTGTATAAGACATGAACAAACAAAAAACCAAAACAAAGGCAGAGTACCCAATGACCTATATAGAATACCTGACCCATATAGAATCCTTACAGTTGTAGGCGTGTGAAATCACACATTGTGACCATAGGTCATCACGAGCGTAGAATGTACTTTTGTCTCCCTCTCTTCTACGTGTTTAGAGAAAGCAGAGGGCTAGAAAATTATTATCAACGTCATCTGCATGAAAGCTCAGTTTCATGCATTTGTATGACTGTTTCCAGGGTTTGGGGTTTTCAGTAAAATTATTTAAGTAAAATCTTAAGACTATTGTTGCATGAACTGGCAACCAGATATTTTCAGTTTTATTTTCAGAAACATGATACATAGAAATGTTACGAAATAGTACCACCAAAATATATGCTTGCACAACTATATCTCATGCACAGCATCTGAGCAAAGACAGGATTATTTTAGCACTAAAGTGAAAAAAGAATATTGTTACTTTAGTTCCTATTTAGTTCTTATTTCCATTTACAAAGTAAGACTAGCTTTATAATTCTTTCAAAACATCTGTAAGACATAAAACCAAATCCCTGTAAAGAGAATATCAAATGTTCATTAAATTAATTTCTAATAAGTTAAACAATGCTTTCAGAGCTGAAATAAAAATTAAAAAATCCACAAACATTACCATGCAAGTCCTTGTGTGGGATCATCCAGAAGCACACGAATTATGTATAAGAAACAGCTTAGTAGCTTGAGAGAAAAATTGAATAATCGTATTCTCAGACCTATTTAAAAAGAAAATACAGAAATAAATTAGGGTCCTTTACAGTTTCATCCACTTTTAAGGTAAATCTAAAAAGAACTAGAATAGCCAAGCTGCAACAAAGCAAAGGTTGACCTAACCACTAACCTGTCCCTGATATGGGTGATTGGTGTATCACACAGAAGAACATAAAGAATAAGCCTGTCAGATATGCATATGACATGCCCTTTCTAGGTTCCAGAAATCTCTGGGGTAAGACTCAGTCAGTTTTAATGTAAAGAACTACTCAGTCATTTGAAAGCTATTCTATGCCATTCATCTTTCCTGATGTCATTCTTTGCATCTTTTATAGTTTTACAAGTTTACTGTCTTAAAAAGGGGAACTAGAATTACATACAGTATTTCAGAGGCAAGATACAGCGATGCAAAGATACACTTTCAGCCATAGGCAGAGGATATACCATGGCAAGTATTTGAATATTCATATCTGGAAGTCTTCATGCAGTAGATTCTCATACAGAATATATTCATACTATCCCAACTTACAAAATACGAAACTGTAGCTATTTAATTACTTAATTTAGTTATTTAATGCGTCCAGGAGTCAGGGCATGTGAAAGTCATGCTGAACACACAACCAAACTGAAACAACAACTTGTTCTACAGACTATGTGGATATTGAAATGTTCTAGCTGAAACAATGTATCATAACTGCTATCGCGAAACACTACACTTCCCAAAAACATAGGTCTATGGGGTAAAGACAGGATTCCTTCAACGGGATCACATGGACTCTTGCTTCTATCACATGGGCAATTTATTTCAGTGCTAATTGGAGCCATCATCTACTACAGTGGTACTGTTGGCCTTTTGTATTTCAGATTTTGCAGTCAGAGGATTAGAGTTTAAATTTTTGGTCTTGTTATTAAATTCAATAGTCTTAAATTTTTGCCAGTGTAGATGTTCGTATCTAATTCTTGATTTTAAGTTTTCATTCACTAATAAAGTTAAAACTGTCAGTTGACTAAGGTCAAGTGGTGGGAGGTCACTTTAAGCAATCATTTTTTTCAATCTGGTGAACTGAGAATCCAGTTTTGCATGGTTCGACCCTTCTGTCCAAAGCAGAATACCACTGACTGACTGAGTTTTACACAGATGTGGCTTCATTAGCACGTAATCATAGTAAAGATAGTACCTTTTACTGTGGTGTTGCAAGTACATTATCAGGGTCTGCTGAACTCAATATGATTATTTCTGTGCTTTAAGAACTACAGCGTCATTATGCATACCCAAAGCTGTGTGCATACATTCTCTTTTAAGGAATGAGCCATAATTATCTTATGGCAATATCACATACTTTTTGACTATACCCAGTCCTAAGTTCAAAACAAATGCCTTTCAGGTAAAACTGATAAATCACCTTTCATATCTACTAGTTCCCCTCCCATTAAAACACAAAATACAGCAAAGACTAAAAAATAGAAAATAGATGCCTAAATATTCTACCATACACTTGCTGAAAGAAATTTTAAGGTTTATTGCACAACACTGCTTACTATCTTTAACTGTGAAGTTGCAGTTATCACATGAGAACTGAATGGACTTTTACAGAATCTTGTAATCTGTAAACTAGGGGTTAAAATCCTGTGGCCCTGACCATGAGAAGTCCCACAGCTGTTATTGGCAATTAGGTTTGTGAACATTAACCTGGTGATTCCTGCTCTCCTGTCAAGAGTAATTAGCCACAGACTATTTATTACCCAACATGAAGGAAGGGGTTGGGGTGGTGAATGGATTTAGGGGTTGTAGAAGGTAAGTGTGTTGTTAAGTTATTTGATTAGGAAGAACCTCAGTACTTTTCTTGGGTAATGCTATGGGGTTTGGGGTTGAGCTGTTGCTGAAGAAAACATGAATTGTTTGTCTGTACTAACCTTTTGTGGAAGTCTGCGGGAGTATGAATGGTTTCCATAACAACAAGAAGAGCAGATAATGTTTGAAAACAAAATGAATGCACACCTCCCAGCCCTCAAAAAAACACCTAACACCAAACAAACAAGAAAAGCCCACCAAGATTTCTCTTTCTTTACCAGTTTTATGTTGTCTAACTTTCATAGGTAAGTACAAAAGTCTATGTTTGTTTTTTCTAGTTTTTAGCTGTGTAAATGTTAAGGTTGGTGTCAAACACTTCTGCATTGACAATGGCCTGGTTTCAAACCATCATTTGCAACTATCTGTTGGCTTAAATGCAAGAAGAAAATAATGCTTTTCTGATTAAAACCTACATCAGTACAAAGGGCCCATGTTCCTGCCTGTTGTCTTAAACTCTTCATTCTGAAATCTTAGTAGTGAAAGATCTAGAACTACTTATGTATTCAGATAAGTTCCATAGACTATTCCTAGCTATGCCTAAAAGTGCATCTCCACAGGAGTGGCTGTTTCCCACGGAATATAAGGCAGGGTTTTCCCAACAAATATGCTTTCATCCAAGGGTTGTATTTAACATAGATGGATAGTGCATATCATGGATTGGGTTATATATAAAGTAAGGTGATATGCTAGGCTTTTTACCACATGTGATTGGGTTGGTTATTACAATACAAATATGTAAGAAAGGCTTCAAGTCTATCCTGTTTCAGAAGGTCACCTCTCCTAGTTCTATATGCCTCAGCCTTTAGAAATAGGATGTGCTGTCAAAGGGAGCATATTTGGTCACCCCTGTAATAATTAACGTAGAACTACCAAATAACTACTTTCTCTGGTTGAAATCTTCTGTAGCCTCATAGTTGGAATGTCACCTGTGAGTTGGAAGAAATGCATTTATTCCACTGCCATAGAGATCAAGGATTACAAATATGGGAAAGAGGGTACAGTCACTAGACAAGGCATTTAAAATAGCTTTTCATTTATTACTTGGTTACAAAGAAAGTGTTTCATGTTTATGTTTGCTGGCTGACTATTTTTGTCCTCTATTTTACATGCTGTCAGTGGATCAACGTGCTCTGCTTGACTTAGTTTCTTCTTTTCCATTCACAGCCAGATTGTTCAAGTAGCAGGGTCATTTGCACAGAGTATGTCTATGTTTTGATACTGGTGCCTGAAACTTGTATTTAGCTACATCAGCCATAGAGTCTTATCCAGTTATGAATTGTTCAGTAAGATTGTCACGTAACCATGGTGTTGCATCTTTTGTCTTCTTTAGAAGAGGAAGAAATTGCTAACAGTTCAAAATCTGTTTGTTTTGTGAAATAAATATAACCATGTCAAACATTAATGTTTCCTTCTCAGCTTGAACAAGTCCTAGATTTTTTTTCAGGCATTTTTAAGTACAGAGTGATACATTCAAATTCACCGGTCACTGACTGTGACTTTCACTTTTATTATAAATTCTTGATGACTCTCTTAGAAACATTTTAGGAAATTAAACCTCTGTTTTAGAGAGATGCTTTAAATCAAAGCAAAAGTGACAGAGATAGCAGCTGAAGTTTTTACGATCACCTTCTGTTATTCCTTTCTCATAAATCTCTAACATTTTTGGTTTTTACCAAAATCATATAAGCAGCAGCTGGCTTTAGGAGTTGAATCAAAATATAGTGTTAATAACTTATATCCTGGTGATGGTTATCATTTATTCCCTCTTCACTGAACTGAAGCTTCATTTATTTTTTCCCTTCGAGTCTTATTCTGGGCTGTGATAAAGCGATGTGTGATCTTGGCAAGTACAGGCAAGTCATACCAGTATTTTTTTTAATTTTTTATTTTCCCCTCTCTCTTTATATATACGAATATTTTTAAGTGTGTGTGGTGGGGTTTTTTGTGGAGAGGTGGTTGGCTGACACCTTTGAAAAATGCTTTTCATGCACTGGTTGAACTTAATTAGATGTGTGCTTGCAGAAGCTTGAGTGAAAGTTAGGTTAACATTAGATATAGATGAAGGCTTGTTTTACCAGTTTATACAAATACTTCCAAAACCAGAATAATGAATGAACCAGTTTATATTTCATGCTACTGGTCTGTATACAATTTAGATCAGAATAGTATTCTCTAGCAAATTCATATAAATTCTAAAGGTGACTGCTCTGGTTGTCAAAACCACGTGATACTGCACTCTGATGTGTTAAATTCACTTGTGAAGTCTTAAGGATTAGCAGAAATTGTTTGGTGAACATGTGTAGTTTTAGTTATACCAGCAGAAAATTTGCTGATATATTGCCAATTATTTCCTCAGTGATAGCCATCATATCTTTAGTATGTGAAGGAAGGTTTTCAGTGCTCTCACTGAACACTAAGATCTAAAGGGTAGTATCTTTATTTATCAATTCCCCAAGGCCACTAGGCAACAGAATCCAGTTTCAATGGACGACTGAATGAGTACACCTGGAATGAGTGTCAGGTTACTATCCTGGCAGAAGATTTTTAGGGATTGTATTCTGGGGAATTCTGGTTGTGAGTATTTGGACGATAACCAAGATCTGTTTGACTGAACTTGCTAATTCTGAATGCATTGGTTTGGGGATTTTTAATTTTTATATTTTTTTTTCTCATTCAGTACAGTAATAATTTTGCTGTATTTCTTGTTTCTTTCTCCTGAAAATTGCCTTATTTAATGTCTAACTGTTGGTTAAGCTTCTTGTAGCATGAGAACCAGTAGCAGTGCTTGTGGGGTTGTAGTGGGAAATGCCATGCCCATGCCATATGCTGCTGTAAGTACAGTAAGCACACTCATTTCCAACTTGCTTTCTGCAGACTGGCTCCATAACTCAACAGTAGAAGAAATATGCCTCTTATTTTAGAGTTTTCCTTTGAGTCCTCTCCTGAGGACCTGTCAGGAAAAGAAGGTGCCCATAATGACAATGTCTCTACTAGCTGTCTACAGGAAGAACTCTTGAATGTGTTTTTATTTGTTAAGCAAAAACACAGCATGCTTCTGTAAAATTTATCTTGGCTCTGCATGGCAGCACTGCGTAGGAAAATTCATCAGAATCTGAATTTTTCGCGCAATTATCAAGCAAGCTAAACAGGAAAATTCTTGTGCTGCTTGTCTATAGCATGAACCTATCTCTAATAGGATCAATTAACAGCTGCTTACCATTCTCTTTCTTATTTCAAATAAACTTCCATATCATTCCAGTCCTTTGGACCCATATATCACACTTACCCAATCAAAACTTAGCAGAGATGCCCCAGGACCGTAACTTATTACAGTTCTCTTAATATACTTAGCCAGAAGAGTACACACTTGGCAAAGGAATGGCCATGAATTCATACTGACTAACTTATGGGTAATTTTTGAGCTGATGATCATAAATTTACGTATTTTTATCTGTACGGGATCAGCAGTTCTGCCATCAAAATATGTATCTGTATATACATATTTTTTTAATCTTGCTAAGATCTAAGTAGGGACAAAAATCTTTCACTTAAGCAAGAAGGTACTATTCAGAACCTTGCCTTCTTAGAGTAAAAAGAGATTAGTAAGTCAAGTCATAACTTCATAGATGTTCTAAGTAGGTAGAGTTTATCAGCTCCCTGTTTTGTGGACTAGATCAGAAACAAAAAGGCTATGTATTACTCACAGCTTCCCAGACTGCCTTTCTAGCCAGAAGTAATACTCCTTTCTAGTTTAGGATGCTTTTTTATTTTGTGTCTTACTCCATTACACACTACATTAGTGATGTCAGAAGTCAATGGCTATAAAGATATAACACACTTAAAAGGCATATACAGTCACAGGGAGAAAAGTAGAAGGGAATTAAAATCATTTGAGAAGCTGTAGTGCAATTAATTAAATTTAAAATGTAAATCTAGTTAAACTCACTTATCTCTAATGAATCTCAGAACAGTTGAGATTGGAAGAAATGTCTGGAGGTCATTTTGTCCAACCCCCCACCCCAAAAAAAGTAGTTTGTTCTTTTCTCCCTTCTGTCCTTTCTCAGACACAGAGCCATGGAGCCATCTTAACTGTATTACAAAGGCCAAAATGTATTCTTTCTATTCCAAAACTTTTATGTATGAAACTACTGTAATTTGAGGTGCAGGACAAATGGAGGCAAATTCAATCCTGCTACTTGGACATGGAGGAAAATTTAAGTCAGTTGCTGCTCTTCCCTAGCTATGAACTCCACTGGTCTAATCAAGATTTGATAATACACCATGCTCCGTCCCCTTGGACCAGCTGCATGGACGTATTTAAAAAGATTAGTATCTTAGTCCCTCCATGTTATTCTCTTATATGATGGCCTATGGTATCATGTTCAGGAGAAGGAGGTATGTCCTTCCCATTAGCTTCCTTTCCACATTGTGGGATTTTTTTTTTTAATAGAGCTCAATTCTAAAATTTCTTTTGGAATACTTAATAAAACTGAACACTTCAAAAAAAACTAGGTACTTCTGCAGCTTTTTTTCCTCCAGTATCTTAGAGGCTATTTGATTTCCTAGACATAAGGTCATGGCTTGTCAATGAGCATTGTAATGTCACATTATGTATTTTTACATATTATGTAAAATTGACTCCTATGTGGGATAAAATTTTAGCTCAGAAGAAAATCAATGATAACTTTGCTGTTGCCTTCAGTGGAACTGGATTCTACTCAAAGTATCACAATTATGCTTAACAGAAATTAATCCAACTGCTTACTTGATCTTTGGTTTTTGATGAAGAAGAGCTTTAGTCTCTCTTTAAATGTATTTTCATTCATATAGAATTCAACTTGCACCCTGAAATATAAAAGGAAGTATTAGAATTGAATATTAAGATACTTTATTTTTTCAAAGTAAGTTTTCTCTAATTATCTGTTCTTTATATATAACTGGAAAAACATAGATTATTCAGCCAAAAGCTCACTGAATTTGAATGACTGATGTTGGAAGATTAAAAAACAAAACAAAACAAAAACCAAAAAAAAAGGCAAAAAACCTTATCCCCTTTACATGCAGAATCATTTTCATGTTACTTGGACGCTCTGTACTTCAAAATGAGAAGCATCTATGTTTCAGTATTTTCATCTACAACTACCTGAAAGGTGGTTATAGTAAGGTGGGTGTTGGTCTCTTCTCCCAGGTGATAGGATGAGAGGAAACAGCATCAATTTGCACCAGGGGAGGTTTAGATTGGATATTAGGGAGCATTTCTTTACTGAAAGGGTAAATGAAACAGGGTTTCATTAAATGAAAAGTTTTCATTGAAACAGGCTGCCCAGGGAAGTGTTGGAGTCGCCATCCCTGGTGGGATTTAAAAGACGTGATTTAGTGCTGGACTTGGCAGTGATAGGTTGATAGTTGGACTTCATGATCTTAAAGGTCTTTTCCAACCTAAATGATTCCATGAGTACTGAAAGACTCTTCTGTCTGCATCTTCCTTGATGTTCAGGTTAAACCTTCTATCTCATTTTAACTTCCTTCTTGAAAGAATTGTATTTTGATGATGATTCTTTTTTCTATCTTGTTCATATCTCTCTTAAGTGTTCACTTGTTTGTGTTCACCATTAATCAAATACTCATGCACCAAATAAACCACCTCTCTTGAGCTTTGTCACAAGGAAATACTGAGGCCTGAAAGCAAAATTATATTGCAGTCATACAATATTATACAGAAAATAATCCCCCTTCCTTATTATATTAGAACAACAGTAACATCTTTATTCCTCCCTTCCCTCCAAATCTGCCAGAATGTATTTCATGTTTCTGTCCCTCAATTTAGTCTGAGTATAGCTCATGCAATAGTTCTACAGACTAGAAGAGAGAACTGTTGCAGAGGCTGGCAAGGGGAAAAGGTGTGCATTAGTTGTATAGAAAAACTTAGGCCATTCCAGAAGCTGTACAGCATTAGTTCCATTTCCACTGAAGTCCCTGCTCTACCCAACTGGCTGGATCTCCCTCACCAGTTCCAGCACTCCTCCAGCAATGAATCCCTTTAACCCCAGCACAATTTCGGTGCCTTCCTGAGAAGTCAGTCCTCACTTGGAGAACTGTTTTACTATTGCTAAAGAATAAAATGATACCACAAAAGTGAGTTACTCCCTCATGTCTTGCTTTCTCTGTATACCATCAGGTGTTGCAAAATTGCATATGCCTTTTCTGTGATAAGGCATACTTGCCTTTATTTGCATAGTTCTTCTCAGCAGTCTTTCGTCAAATGACTGTACTTCAATTATTCGTTCTTATCTGTACTGTTGTATTTTGCAAACAGGATCCTGACTTTAGTTTTTAACTTCTTGCCTGTGAAGCCTTTGCTGAAATAATTTTTGTATAATCTAATGTTATCTATAGTCTCTCTCTTCCCCTCAAATACTTGTCTTATACCATATATTTCTGTACACTTACAGAATTGGAGGATTATTTAATTACGGGCCCAGAATGGATGGCATCTCAGGTAATGTGACTTTTTCATTCTTGCTTATTTACTACCATAAGTTTAGGCATATCACTTTGTAGAATAGGGTCAGCATGTCATAAATAGAAGGCTTTCTATGACTCAGTGAGCTCAGTTAATTTTAGCTAGTCATTCAGCTTTGGTGTGGTTTATCATTGTATTCCTTGTAGAATGGAAAATTACTGTTTCCTATTCAGAGGAAGCAAAAACATAACCTTATTTTTAAGAAACTATATTGGAACTAAGCTCTAAAATTTACAGAACTTTGTATTTATTTCTGTGCAGTGACACATTTGACACAGTGGTTAGAGCAACCCCTACCCTAGATCATCTTTTCTGCCCTGTCTGGCTCACCCCTCTGTGGTAAGATCTTTAAGCAGTTGGAATTAAAGAGGAGGAACCCACCTGCCCTCTGCTTTTTAAATGGAGAGTACCTGCAACTGCATATTTCAAAGAGCTTGGGCACAGAGGAATGTCCTAGAAACTGCCACCAAATTAGAGGAAAAGCCCATCAGATGAAGAGCAATTTGTTTCTGAGCTTTTATTGAGCTTAAATATAGACTAAGTGTTGTGCTGTTCAAGACTGCAGGAGTCACTGATGTTAAAAGAAGCACAAGTTAGTTGGTAACCTTAAGGTAACTTAAGGAAGCATGACCAGAGGTTAATTGGTAGGTGAGCAGGTTTGTGGGGCCCTGAGCTCTGCTTCAGTTCTTTTCTGCACATTTCCCAAGACACTTACTATCAATGCAATGACAGTTTTAGTGGGAAATAGATCCTATTATTTGGCAGCTGCCACATGCTAAGTGTATATACTTATTCTTCAAGGACATATTTTAGTAGGCAAACAAAGTGGTACAAGCTATTGAAGTAAGGGATGTTTTTAAAAGGTGCACCATATGGGTGATCTTTTACACATTTTAAACTAGTCTCAGATTTTTCAGTCAGAAAATTACAATAGTCGCTTATCATGAAAGAACAACATGTTAACAGTAAGCCATCATTTAATGATAACGAGGAAAGAGGATGTGGGAGCTAATCACCCTCCTATCACTGCCATTCTGAATTGCTCTGATAGCCTTCTAACAGCTGTCTACTTCTCTTTTCTTAGCAACCTGTGCTCACAGCAGACTAGGATTCCACAGTGCAGCAGTTTCCATGGCAAAATGAATTATGAACACTGCTAATACCACTTTTGTGGCTCAACTCTTCCTTCCCATGACTTTTTTAAACTTCAGCAAAAACTGCATGGGGCTTCTACATTTGCAGGAAATACATAATCGTGTATCTATAATTAATGTATGCTTTCATGGTACATAATACAGACAGACAATATTTCACTTTCTTTCTTAAAGGTTACTATTTACTAAGTAATGCTAGGAATGAACAGGTGGAGGAGCCACTGGCAGAGATAAGGACAAAAACCTCCAGAAACTGTTCCTTCCCAATATTCTACTTTTTATTTTTACAAAGAAAACTCATTCTACTTGAAAATTTATTTTAATCTTTTAATAATTAAAATTTTACTCATTTTACTTTTATTTGCTCTTTTCTGTATTTTTCCCACTATGAAGTGTAACCTCAAAAAGGAGTATTTTGGGAACAGAACACAGATTCTGATCCTTACTGAAAAATGCACAAATACATGGCTAATATACCTGTGGCAAAACCAGCTGAAGTTATGATTCTCTTGAAAACATAGTGTGTTTTTTGGTTCTTTTAACCTTCTTAAAATTAAATACCATTAATAGTAGTCTTTCCTAGTTTAAACCCAAAGAACAGTGATGTCAATGGAATCTTCCAAATTGCAAGAAGCATCCTGTAGTACACAAAGTACAAGTATACATTGCACTCTTCTAATTCAGTCAAGATGTAATTTGAGTAGTACATTTTAATGTAATACACAGTATAGCAGGAAAATACTAATTCATGCCAAGGACACTAATGCAAAGCACTTCTCATGACTTTAAATAACTGGGACCAATCTGTCTGCACTCCAGTTACTTAACTAATTTTGTCTGTATTTTTTCCATCGCTATTTACAATGTCATCTTTACTCGCAGTAATGGGAGATACAGCCATGTTTTCCTATAGTAACAATATTACCTTGCACCCTCAGATCTACAAATTGTCATTCTTTTGTGTTGGAAAATAGCATATTTGGCAAAATTAATCCCTTCAAAAATTAAAGTATAAGTGGATTTCTCACTACATGCATGCTAAGAGCTGTAAATATTTATGTTGACTACTTCTTGACATTAGAATCAAGAAAAGTTGTTAACTGTACAAATAGAGCCAGTCTGCAGAAAAGTAAATCAATTTAAGTCCATCTTTATGGGGAGGGACATTTCATGTTTTTCCTACAAAAAAATCCTTGTAATATAGACAAAATATGTTTTTTATTGTGATTTGCCAATCCAATATATGTGAAATCCTGTTATATTACAAACCTGAAAGTTTATTATGTAGGGTGTAGATCGGTGCTTAGAAATTAAGCATTTGAAGTGCTAAAGAGAGCTGCTATTGTTAGAGCTTATTTACATTAAATAAAAAAAAAAAAAAGGAAATTGGCATTTTTTTCCTCCTTGCTTTTAATAAAAGATTAGTGTATTTTAATGATGCCTGTCTTGGGTAGCAGGTCTCAAAGTTTTGAAAGTTCTGCAATACTCGGAACTCTGATTTGTTTACAGCTTCACAGAAAAATGGTGATTTGACTTTCCAGGCCTGCTTGTTCTGTCAGAATCAATACAATAGATCAAGACCACTTGTTGAATGATACCTCATCATATTGTGCCGAAGGAAATGGATGTAAGACATTACCTTTCCATTACTGGTTCTTAACCTGGGGAGGCCTTCTGTTTGTTTCTGGGAGGAAATCAGTCATCAGTTGCACAGGTTGCGATGAACAGTGAACAGATGAAGTTCTGAGTTTTTTTACTTTGTCTCCATGCTGAATGACAGCAACTCAAAACAAATGGTAGTAATTGTGGGAAGTAAGGTGCTTCATCCTTCCCTGGGAGAAGGAAGGGTGCTTCCAATCAGTGTTGCCTCCCATTTATTGCAAGGACAGAAAAGATTCTATTTCCTTTGCAGCTTCCTAATTTGGTACTCTCTTCTGCAGTGAGAGCAGGATATGAGAGAGTTGTGGAGATCAGGGCCTCAACAGTTTTCTGGGTACTTTAGGACATAGTCTTTAAAAGCCACATTGCTATTGAAGCTGTTTGCCATGCACTATGCTGATAAAATCTAACATTTGCAATATGACGCTGCATTTTCTTAAAGATGTATTCTAACAAGTGTAGAATAATTAAAACTGACAGGTATAAGGTAATCTTCTGATAGGGGATTT